GTCGTGGCTTGTTGTTGCTGGAAAAGGCTATGTGAGCCACCACAGAAGGAACTGAAAATTCATCAGCTTTTGTTGAAGCGGAAAATAGTGTAGTAACAAAAATACCGCTACTCAAATACAATCCTCATTTTCTGCTATCACTGACACTGCTGAAACAGCGAGCGATCCCACCATGAAAAGAAAAAGAAAACAAAATCCTGTTGGCTGGAAATCCAAGGTGGCTAAGAGATTGCGGAATACAAGTAAAGCGTATGTTTCTTTATCAAACCCTGTAAAACATATTGCTGAGCGTCAAATCCGTCCTCCTTGTGGCAAAAAATTCAAATTAAAATGCAACACATACATAGACGAAACACAAAGGCAGGAGATTTTCAAAAAGTTTTGGCAGCTGGGTGATCTGGAGAGGCAAAGGGAATACATCGTCAGGCATACACAAGAAATCAAGCCAAAGTATAGGTACATCACTTTTCAAAAATTAAGGGCTTATAATTCTGCTTATTACTTTGAATTAGAGAGCTCAAGGATTAGGTAGCGCAAAGAGTTTTTTAAAGCTACGCTGAGCATATGTGATAGATATGTTAAGACAACCCTGTCAAAAAAAACTGATGGTGGTTTTATAAAAGCTGATGCTCGAGGAAAGCAAGGTAATGAACGCAAAATAGACACTGAAGTATAAGACAGTGTGATCAATTTCATAAATTCTATGCCAAGAATAGAGTCTCATTACCTAAGGGAATATATCTATATAACACAAGGGAATATATGTCACGTGATAAATGTATGGCAGGTACACCGAGATTACAAACAATTCCGAGGACAAAATAATTTACCCCCCGCTTCTGCTTCAACATTCAGTAGAATTCTCAATGAGGAGTTCAATATTTCCTTTTATGTTCGAAAAACGGATCAATGTGATCTATGCGAAAGTTAAAAAAATGCCGATGATGAGGGTAAGGCCAATCACAATTCTCCGCGAGAATTATGAAAACCACCTAAAGGAGAAAGAATTATCTAGATTGGAAAAAGACGCTGACAAAAAGAGAAACGATGTCATCGTAGCAGTATACGATTTGCAGGCAGTTATGTAAGTTCCCAAAGGCGAAGTTTCTCTTTTTTTTTATAAATCGAGAATCAACTGTTTAAACTTTACTGCAAGTGACTTGCACGCAAAGGATATTGTTTTGCTATTTCTGGGACGAGACCGAAGCAAAGCGTGGAGCTATTGAGATAGGAAGTTGCGTCCTTAAATATATCGAGGGGGTACTTGAAAAAGAATGATTCTAATACATGTGGACATTATATTCTACAGCGATAATTGTTGTGGGCAACAAAAAAATAAATACATACTAACAAACAACTTTGCGTAGAAAAGTAAGATCCTTTGTCTTTCTTCTACAAAACATCGTTCGAAGAAACAAATTTTAAGAAAGTTTGAGTTTGAAATCGTTCAAGGCGCTACAAAGGTCAAGGTTTTTCTCCCCTGTTGCTTAAAGCATACACAGAAAAATAACCTCTGACTGAAAACAAAAAGAGAGATATTATGGAGTTAATTGAAAAAAATATAATAAATAAAATGAATTTATATAGACAATTAATATAACACGGGATAAACATGTAGAGATTTGTGTATCAGAAGTTATGTAGCAGTAGAGCTCCTTGTGCAAAAGTTTGTCCAGGGTAGTACTGTCACCTTACCTATTTCTGCCGCCAATCAGTAATGTTAGCATTACTGTGTTCCGGTTTTGAAGAGTAAGGGTGCTGGTGAAATTACAGGCATATGAGACTTGTCAACTTATGTATCAGGGTGACGGGTGCAGTGGTAGTGCCCATCAGATCTTTGCAATTTAAAGCTCTGAGTGGCACTGTAACTGTTATGGACAGGCGTGTAGCTTCAGGCGAACGACTTGTTCGTCCAGTCACTTAATGTAATAAGAAAAAAATAGATTTACATACGATTGTGAGGTGATCTAAAGTTAAAAAACATGTGATGCATTACTTACTAGTTGTTTACGATAGAAACGTTACCTCAGTTATAACCTGTAATCTTATTTACTACAATTCGGTGCTCCCTTACATGAAATGAGCTTTTTCTATCGAAAAAGTCCCGCAACACCAGGATTGATGAAATTATGAAGTAGAAAATCCAAGGAAAATAAACGTTTCATTGTTAGTTTTAATATTTAATATAAAATATAAATTGGTACTCTTTCATTATTTTATTTACTCGCAGAAAAAGTATTGTATGCAATCATTACATAATTAGGTCTTAAAATCTCGTACCTATTACCTAGGCCCTTAACACGGTGCTCGATTTTAAGAACCCTCATTATACAACGATTGCATAAATTACTATTATGACCTTCTAGATGTGTTTACACTACAAATAACTTCATCAGTATAAAATTAGTTATATGCGTTACATATTACTAAAATACAATGAAAGTATAAATAGGTAATAGCTTTTACCAGTGTACCTTAATTTATCCATATTTAGGGGTTGTTTTTGAAAACGCGTTTGAAACGCGTTTATTTATTTTATATTTAAAGTGCCCAAACCTAGTTTCAGGCAAATCGCGTTAAAAAGTTCCCATGTAAGCTTTAACACTCGATTTCATTCCTATGCATACGCGCGACTGCTTCGATACAAACGCGCGATTGCATCGCTACACTTAGGATTTATTGGCGTTTGCATCGATACAAACGCGCGATTGCATTGCATCGATGCAATCGCGTATAAATCGCAAATGTAGCGATGCAATCGCGCGTTTCTTGAACGTGTGTGTGCATCGCTGCTAAAAATCACCGTTCGTAACCACTCTTAAGGGTGGCTTTAGAAGAATGTCATGTCAACCTTTTACCATTTCAATATTTGTGCTAAGTGTTAGTTATGTAAATGCAAGGACTACAATTTTTCATATAAATATTTATACCCTTTTTCACCCTCTTAGGACGTTTAACTTTTTGACTCCCAAGTGTAATTTTAGGGTTAATAAAATATTTGGCATAGTCTGTAGTCTCAACCAATTACAGAAAGAACTCGTTTCTGCTGCGAGCTTGCAACCTGGTCAATAGAGTAGATATTCATGTCTTTTACACTACAGTTGCCACAGTGAGAGGGTTACTCAGCGATTTTTTGTTTAATTCTTAGAAACAATTTCGTTTCTTCTTGAATTTGTAATTTTCTTCGATCTCTGTTGTTCTCTCTAGATGCTTACATGTTTGTGTTATATTATATCTAAAAGTGCAAACTAAATTGACCTACTTCACTGTTTATTTTATTTATATATGTATATTGTTATAGTTTACCATGAATAAAAAAAATAAAATAAATAAATGACAATAATTTCGAAAAATTCTTAGTAGACCTACACTAAATAAACGTAACATATCCTGAAATTTTCATGTTTCTACGACTTATATTTTTTGCTGTGAGCATATCTACCAGTAAATTACTCCGGACCCTACTTTATGGATTATCACTAGTAACACGTTTCTTACTACGATATGACTTTTCATTTTACCGATATTACACGCTCTAATGTCACGGTCATTCATCCCATGACTATGTAGCGTGTAGCCATTCCTAAATATCGGGGAAAGAATAAGAAGTCATTCCATGGCATATGTCAAAAATACTCAACAAAATATTATTACTTGCAGCATTAAAGGTTGAATAATAATTGATGCAGCTGGAGAAACCAATTTTGGAAGCTGTCTCTTTTTTGTATTAGGTTATTAGAGGAGACTTCGGTAAATTTAAATATAAACTTTACATCACATTAACACGTTTAGTCCTTGAACACCTGGAAGCTAAAGAAGATTAATTCGATTAAATATTCACAACAGTACAAACTCTTATTCGTGATAATAATTTTTTTGCAACAGTTGCGTTTCACCCTTAGAGCGTTTATGCACAGCGTTTGATCTGTTCCATCCGAGAAATGGCGGGCCAAAGTAGTCAGTACTGCTTATATGAGGGTATGCCCACTAAATCCGAATTCCGTCTTCCAAAGTCGAGAGTATTTTCAATTCGGATTATTATTTATATTATTACTTACGATTATTATTATTATTATTATTATTTAAGATTATTACTTACGCGGACCGAAGTGACTACAATATTAATTGTATTAAGATTGTGCACTGCGTTCGATTGTAAATGTGCGATTCGAGTCCAAATCGGCAATGGTTCTGGCTTATTTGGTGACAATTAAAAAGTTTCTGGTCTTGATCTTGCCTCAGTTCATCGTGATAATTTTTTTTTATGATTAGTTACTCGTGAAAGTCAGTTCATCAGGAGAAAATCTACAAAGAAGTCTTAATTCTCTTGCGTTTTCATTAGTACAATGATAATGTCAAAGTTCTTTTGAAAGGACATAAATTGTTAACGAACGGCTTAAAAGCTACATGAAACACAGCACCAGTGTGGCTAGTATTATGAAATATTTGGTGTACAAGAGATATCCGTATTTTTTGGGTGTAGTGCACAAAACCATACATTTGATCCGAGTTTTCTGTATTCTCGAATTTGGAACGGATACGGATAGAACGCAGTGCGTAAACGTCCTTATTGTGTATAATATATAAAATAATGTAAAAAAATCCCAAACGAATTGCGTGCAGAAAGTCCTGTTAGAACACTAACTGAGCTCAGTTACCAAGTTCTACTTAAAATAAATACACACGTATCATAAAGTACTACGAGTTTTGGCACAATATCTACGAGAGAAATACTTTATAATTATATATCTGAGTTGAGGCATAGGCCCGTGTGACAATTTTATCATATTATAATTTTTTATTACATTATGATAATTTTGTGCCAGAAAACCATGGCAATTGCTTGGTCTCAAAGTAAGAAATTCCCTGTATATACACCGTCCAATACCTAAAACTGAAACCGAAAATCCGTGCGTGCGTCCGTATCATCACGTGCAAGATTGAACACAAAATGGCGAATGAACAGTTTAAAAGACATTTTTCACATTTTTAACGCTCACCTCCAACGGAATTACAATGAACGTTACAATCATATCAGCCACTGCTAGATGTGTCATCAAGAGATTCACTCTGGATTTCCTTCGACGCGAGCGTACTAGTGATGTGAAGACAGCTACGTTTCCGAAAGCACCCGTTATCAGCAACGCACTGAAAAGATAGAAAATGGTTTTAAAATATAGTAATAATGGTTTGACAATATAATAATAATGGTTTGAAAATAATATACTAGGTTTACCTCGTATTTGTGGGAGTCTTAGAGCACATTAAATCGACTTAAGTGGATTGAAATATAATTCTTTCCATATTTAAGTATTTTGTTAACCCATATTGATTATGGAACAAAGGTTTCCTACAAGGAATTATTTCCATCAATCATTAATTTAAACTTCTTCATGAAATATGAATTAGTAATTAGAGAATTTAGTAAAATAATATTGTGTTTTTAACCGCTCACGCGAAACATACAGCCGTAGACGCATACAACACCTAGAGGTGCCGGTGATGATTTTATACCGATTTATCGGATATCGAAGTTATAACAGGTAAAAGAACTAATACTAATTGCTATTTCGGTAACTACTCTAGCAAACCATAAAGTTTTTAATGCCTGGGTCTGTCATTTACAAAAAAATAAACAACTTCAAAAATACGTCACGACAATCGTGTGTGTTATTGTTTGGGCTGGTGATTTCGGTGTTTATTTATTGAAAACATACCGTAAGTAGCGTTTTTTAAGTTTACCCTGAATATAAATGTTTACAAACTATACTTTAAGGAGTAATTTCATGGTAAACGTTAGAACCACTCAAACGGAATATTATCATATTTACCCAAGTACACCAAAAATTTCATTAGTGCTTTTTAAGTGCAGGATTAGAGGTGTATTACTGCATTTTATTTGAGATGTTTTTGTTGTAGTGCGGAGGGTATTTATTTAGAAATGCAGAATAATATTTTTTATTTATAAAAACTTGTATTTAAACTGAATCCGTTTCTAATTTGCGAAACCAAATCGCCATTTTGCGGTAGGATGAGCGCATCGCGTGAGCGGTTAAAGTTGAACACTTACACAACGCTCACAAGCACTGCACTTGCAAGTGTACTATTCGTTTTATGAAGAAGATTGTTAGTATTATGTGCGAGAAAAACAAAATTTTTCAATTGTCTCGTACCATTACACTTCCGTATACTAAATAATAACGAATAACTTTTAATTTTCAAGTAACTTCTTACCTGTACATGCAGATAACAAACCCCTGCCCCTCAGGAACAGGGATTGTGCCGTCATCACGCATCGTAACGTTAGTCGCGTCACTCGGTGTCTCTTCTAAATTGAAATAATCCCAAAATTTCTGATCCACGTCAGACATACTTGTGGAAGTTTCAGCTATACTGTTTTTAAGCATTTTCCGGTTATTTTTCACATTGAATTTGAAAGTATGATTTTTTTACAATATTATTTTGGAATTGGTTTATTGATTTGAAATGAACATTCCACGTACGATTATTTATTTCTACCTTAACTAGCATACTCGGTGTTTCTTAGGCCCAAATTTTATATTCACTTCACCACACACTTTATATAAAACACTTCATTAGAAACTAAAACTGTTTTAAACATTATAATACTTTTTTCTATATTAAAACATTTGTTATAATAACTCTTTGAAATAATAATTGTAATTTAACAGATAATTATTTTTAATATTAAAACACCACTTATACACAAATAAAAAGTTTATGTTACACACTTTCAAAACGCGTAGCACTGCGGCCGACGTAGCGAGACGAACGCTCGACGTAACCGCGTAGCACTCAATGACGGAGTCTGCGCCACGGAATGAATGATCAGGATAATTTCTTTTGAAATGCGCCACTCATAGAATACCATCATTTTGTAATTGAACAAAATGTTTACATATTTTATTAACAAATGTATTTATAGAAACACATTGTCTAGGACAATATGTGTACAAAGGGCATCTCACGACTATGGGACATGAAACGAAAGTAGTTTGAATATTATAGATAGGACTTTTAGCCTCATGGAGACAATATTGTATATCTAAAGGTAATAATAATAAATAAGGTAGTAATACCGCACATAATAATAAACTATCGTATGTCGTGTGAGTGATAATAACAATCCTCTAGTCCTGTAGTAGTCAGATTACATAATTAGTAATGACGTCATTATGTGCAAATATAAAAGTTCATGTTCTAATTCTTTTATGATACCAAGTGACGGGACAAACAAGTAGTGCGCCGGGTGGTAAGTGACACGCCTATCCATAACAGTTGCAGGGCCTCTCAGGGCTTTAAATCGCAAAGATCTTAGGGACACTACCACTGCGCCCGTCACGCTGAGACAAAAGTTGGCAAGTCCCATGTGCCTGTAATTTCACAAGCACCCCTACCCTTCCAAACTGGAATGCAGAAATGCTCACATTTATGCTTGGTGGCAGAAATGGGTAAGGTGGCAGTACTTCCCTGGACGACCTTTTCACAAGGAGCTCTACTGCTACTAAAGGTCCTTGCAAAAGAAGTCCGTTACCTACCCAGGACGCTGCTATTGGCCATTGAAATCTAAAAAAGACTTCTTAATTGCAACAGGAAATATGGGTTCTCCGTACCACCTGTTTGGGATCCAGTATTTCCTCTGATGAGAAATCCCAGTCGCAATTTAAACATATATTATTATAGTTATATTAATTATAAAATTAAAAGAAATCATATTAGTATAATATTGCTATTTTATGCAATCGTTGTATAATGAGGATTCTCAAAGTCGACGGTAAGTAATAGGTACGAGACTTTAAGACCTAATTATGTAAGATTGCATACTGTACTTTTTCTACGTGTAAATAAAATAATGAAAGAGAACCAACATTTAACGTATATTTTGTTAAGAATCCATGACAAGAAACGCAATTTTTTTATATATATTTTCACCCATTTATTTGGGTAGGCAAAGGTCCACCATAAAGTCTTTTCATATATTTAGACAAAAGCCAAACAGACGCTACAAAACAAGACCCAAAGAGATTGAATAGAAGTGACCAAGTACCGCTTAAATTTTAAACAGTCATTTTTTAACAAAGGTTTTACGGCCTTGTTGCAAGATCTAACGCACACATACTCATAACCCCGCACTAGGGAAACCAGGAATCGCCATCGCAGTGTGCCATGGACACATAGACAACCACAAATTACACCAAAAATCACGAGAAATAAATGTAGGCCATACAAACATTTCTCCCTTCACGGGAATCGAACCCGGGACCTCTGCGTGACAGTCCATGGTAACCATTCGGCCACAGAGGCAGGTAAATCTTTAGGCCAGTTTAACTAATCAGGACGCAGTGGAGGGTTTGATTAGAGTCATATTTGATATTTTAATTAGAAAAATACAACGTTATTTTTTTTAATTCATTATAGTTCTGTGTACAGAACAGAACACTATGGAACAGAACTGTGTACAGTATTATAGTTATATACTTCTGTGTACTGAACCATAATACTGTACACAGTTCTGTTTTGTTGTGTTCTGTACTCTCATTATAGTACTATGTACAGAATTTTAATGAAGTTTTTCAGTTTGGTAGTGAGTAAGTACCATAGACAATAGAATTTTGATTCTGAACCAAACAGGGCGCCTTTGTGATATGGTTTATTAAATTATAATTGACGAGCTCCGTACCCCACCTAAGGTGGGATCGGGTTTCGATTACGGGGTATGATTATACTCTTTGATGACACAGCGGTTAGTACTACGGGCGTTTGTCGAGAAGGTTCCGAGTTCGATCCCGGATTTTGGCCAATTTAGGAAACGAACATTTCTAAGTTGGTTCTGGTCTGGGTACAAATGGGTATTGCCCTCAAAGTTATCATTACTCTGGTATTCATAATACAGGAAATTCCCTAATTTGAGACCAGATATGTGGTGTGATTGTTTGGCATTTTTTTTCCACTAAATAAATTTATTTAACAAAGCTTCCAAGAAAAAGGAATCTATCGTCTCAATACGAGTTACAACAACGCTATAAATATCGCATTTCCACTACATAGGGAAATATTGCTTTACATTTTTAATAATTGAGATTGAGAATTAATTGAGAGCTTATACTCGTAATAGGGCCTCCGTATACTACCTACATACGGTGGAGTGCGAACGCTTCAGGTTTCGCCCACCGCTGGACCTTGACTTACGCCCTCCGCACTTATGACTTTGTTTTAAAATATTAAAACAGCATTTTAATGGTAGCCATTTTCATCCCTAATATATCTTTAGTACAGCTTCCAAGAAAAAGAATCTAACAGAGAGACGGTCGAGATGCTAAAACGCTATAAGTATCTCATTTCTACTACATCGTGAAATTTACCTTACATTTTTAACAATATGTGATCTTATACTCGTAATAGAGCCTCCGTATATTACCTACGTACGGAGGCGTGCGGACACTTCGGGCTTAGCTCTCCGCTGGACCTCGGCCTACGGCCTCGGCACATATAACTTTATTTAAAAAATATAAAATTGTGATGACGCTACGTACCCGTCTGGCACCGCTCTAATTATACGGAAACACAGTCAAGAATTAAAAAATTCATTAATGGAAACAGTTACTTAAACGGTAACAATGAGCTACCACATATCAATGGCACTTACAACAAACTATACTATTTTCAGAACTGCTGCGATGGAAATCGGTGTTGTGTGCCATAACCGACTACAGTTACTAGCTGTAGCTATTATAAATGTCTATTTACAAAGAGCAACCCTGAGATTCTCGTACATGCTTTTCTCGGGTCGCTGACTCTGTCAAGGGTAGGCAATTTTCATGCGAAAACTCGTCTCACAGTGGATTACAAACACTAATTTTAAGCGAGAATCAAACAAGGGCTTTGCTACCTCCTTCTTGAAGTGGACAGGTAAAGAACCTAATTCTCAGCCTACGCATATATTCCACAATAAATACAAAAGCAAAGTTACAGTTAAGGTTAAAGTTAGTCACGTTCCAGGCACACACAAGAAATTACAAGCACATGGGTCTTGTCTACTTAAATCTCAGAGTCTCGTAGTGGCACTGTCCTTCCGATCTTTACGGTGTAAAGAACTGGGTGGCACTGTATTTGTTATGAATAGGCGTGTCGCTTACCACCTTGTTCGTGGTATTATAAAAAAAAATGTTCCCTTCCATCGTCATTTATCATCATCTAAGAACATGGTGAAATGCTTGCCTATTAGATTAGATTAAGAATACTCAATTAGGATTTCGGAAAGGTATTTATTAATATAAAGATCGAACAAACACTAAAACCCCTTCGACAGGACTCGTAACAGTGTCTGTTGTTTCACTGTGGCTGCCGCTCTTTACTTTGACTTGATTTGTAGCTCAGTTGAGCTAAAAATCTAGTCAGCAGCATCGATTCCCAAGTTCGATTCCCGGGCCGGGAGAAATATATGTATGGCATTTATTTATCTCTTAGTTTGGGCGTAATTTGTGTTCCATGGCACCCACGACTCAGGATTTCCCTAGTGCGGGGCTATGTTGAGTGTGTACGTTATTATTATTGCTACAGATCTTTATATTGGGTTTGCCGTAGCGCCGTCTGTGGGAAATGTATGAAAGTTTCTTCACTTTTATTTGTATCAATAAAAACAACAATATACCGGAGTATTTTTATAAAAGAAAATATATAGCTACCCTAACCGAATGAAGCGGTAAAGTAATGGTACCTCCATTTTATTTGATATTTTTTTATTTTTGTCTTTCTTGAACCCCTCTGCATCGCTCAGATTTTTATGCTCTTTTATTTTTACGCAGGCTGTTACGCTCGGTTACATTATCCACATTCGACTATATCATCATTTACTTTGAACTTTATTGTTCAATAAAGAAAAGTAGGATCGCTTTTCCTAACAATTACTGGGACGATGATCTCGTTGACCTCGTTCAAAAGATTATTACTACGTTAAACGACAATATTTAACCTAATATGAAATTCCTTATTTTATCTGTCGTGCTTCGAAATCTACTGCTAGATAATAACTTGATCTGAAATCTATTTATAAAAGAAAGGAAAGAAACAATACTGTGGACTTATTTTAGCGTTAACCAATGCGTCCACCAGGACTTTTAAACTTAAAGATAAAGTAAAATTTAAACTCAAGACACAAAATAGTATTTAAAAACTAAATATGTGTGTTAATACTTTACTGATATGGATTCAGCTACTTAATAAAATAAAATGACATGAAAAACCTTTTGGAGCGTGTATTCCAATTTACAGTAAAAGGTAATACGTGTGAGCACGCTTAGCTACGATGGCGGAATGAATCGAGTGAGGGGCGCGCGGGCGGCCCAGCGGC